GGGTTAGAAATCTTCCAGGGCTGGATTTTCTCTTTCTGCTCAATCGTGGCAGCGGGAAGGAGGATGGGAATCCCCCAGCCTGCTGCCAGCTCCTCTCCCCATTGGAGGCTGGCTGGGAGAATTCTGGGAGTTGGAATCCACCCGCCTTCCAGCTGCCAAGGTTATTGATCGGCAGTTTTCTAAGGGAGGAGACCTTGGGAAGAAGAGTTTCTGGGACGATTTTATGGCCTTTCTGGCCACCGTTCTTAATGGCATCGCAGCCATCATTGAGTCATGGGGTCGCTAAGGGAGTCCGGCTGCCTTGTGGACTCTGCTTGTCGGAAGGCTGCAAAAGGGGGAAAATCTCACGTGACCAAGGCAACCGTTATAAATGCAAGTTGGTTCCCAGCGTCTGAATGTGCAGCACCATGGGGACGCCGCTATAGTCGTTAAGTGTGAACTATGTGTTAGGAATCTGTCCACCAATTAGTTGGGTTGGCAATATACAGTATATACCAACAATGTATGTTTGTAGCTTTAAGACAATGTTACTGTATTGATTTGTACTATGTTCCAATTGGTTGATTGTATTGTCAATTGCCATAAGAGGGAGCTAGAGATCATGGCTTGCTCTCTCTGACATTTTGTTCTCTCTGACATTCTGTTGCTATCTCAGTTTGACTCTGAGACTGTTGTATTTATGCTGTGCTTATACTTTGATATTTTTGTTTACTGGATATGACAAAGGCAACTGGTAAGAAGACTGTAATTGGTTATTCTTTGGACTGTAAAACATATATGACCTGGACCATTTATTGGACTGTGCTATTTCTTAAACTTTAACTCAGTTCAGTGCAGCTGTGTGTGGCTGAATAATTATTCATAACTACTCTCATAAATGTTTCCATGTGCATATCCTTGTTACTCAAGGGTTATTCTGTACACATCATAACACAATGGTCTTAAGTCAAGACTTTCAGTGCTGCTGTAACTTTGGTCACTAAACAAACTATTGTAAGCCAGGGATTACCCATGCGTGTGTGTATTTTTATATAGCTAACCCTAACCCTGACACATATAAGCTGGATCCCCATGTTTCACTACATGGTTTAGCTCAACTGTTCTGTCCTAAAGCTGCTTGGTGCTGCTGTGAAATTGAAACTCCTCTGCTTGTGTGAGGAACATAGGTGCCAAATTTCCAAGTTTGTCGGCTTTACGGTTGTGGAGATTTTGTGATGATGCGTGAGGGGCATTTCGCATATATATATATACACATCGATATATAGACGGACAGATAGACATAGAGTGTGTGTGTGTGTATATATATATATATGTTATGTCTCACCTGTACCAACAAGGTGAGAAGTCCAAATTTCCAACCGAATACAAACAAGCAAGTCCAGTAATTACAGGGTTAAATTCCTTGAGCTGATAAAAGTTCTTGGCAGTCTCACACAAGCTGTCTGCCAAGTCCGACAAGAAAGCAGGAATATAAATCACAAGCTGTCACCGTACACAGTATACTTCTGAAGCTTCTCTAAGTAACACGTTGTCCCGAACAAGTTCCCAGAGCGAACACACCCACTATTATTCCCTGTGGGGCGTGTGAGTCCCTCATCTCAGTCTCTGATTCGTCCTTTCTTTCTGCGTTGCAGCTCACACTTTTGCCTGCGCCGTTGCCTCTCATCAAGCCAGCATTCCTCAGCTTGATCTTCAGTCAGAGGCTCTGATACGCTCTCCTGGTTATCTGCCGACACCTGAGGTACAATCAGGGAGGAAGGTCTTGCAGAAGAGGAAAGTCCTGGGGAGGAAGGCAACTCCAAATCCTCTAACAAAGCAGGCTCAAACCTCAGAGCCAAATCCTCCTCTTCTTCATTGTCCAAGTCTTCATCCACTAACAAAGTAGGCTCAAACCTCAAAGCCAAATCCTCCTCTTCCTCATTGTCTAAGTCTTCGTCCTCTAACAGAGAAGGCTCAAACCTCCGAGCCACAACATATATACATATGCATACATACATACATATATATATTGATAAAGATAGAGATATATAGATGTATGTATATAGATATAGACTGATAGATATGTAAATAAAACAAAACACACTAAATAAAGGAAACAAATCAAACACAGCCTGAAGGGCCGCCCCTTACCAGTATTTCTTCTCCGCTGTCATATTTCTGTTCGATCTCCTTGCCCAGGTCTCCCTCAGGGAGACGCAGATCCTCCCGGACATCCCCGCTGTCCTGGAGCAGAGAAAGGTAGCCATCCTGGATCCCAATAAGCTGCAAGAGGAAGAGGAGGGTGAGCACAGAGGTCACCTCGCCTGCGCCGGGGTTTCCCGAAGGAGCTTCCAAAGGCTCCTCTCTCTTGGGAAAAACGCCCCCCTGGGCATGATTCGAACCAGCCACACCTGTCAGCCAGGAGCAAGGGGGGGAGGTCGTACAGTTATCTAAAACACCCCTTTTCTCAATTTTGGCAACTTAAAATGGGTGGACTTCAACTCCCAGAATCCCCCCCCCGCCAGTGTACCAGTTTCCGATTTAATTCTTATGCCATCTAGTCTATATTTAACCTGTTTTTTTAATTCATCATGTTTTTTTTTTCACTTTGTTGAAGTCAAGATATATTACGTCGACCACATTCCCTCCGTCTATTAAGGAAGTTACCCAATCAAAAATACGTAATGAAGGGAGTCTAAACATATTTCTTCTCCCATCAGGCTGAATATCGGTAAAAAGATTTGCTTGGCTGTGGAATTTCTGGGAGTTCCAAGTCAACTTGCCAAGGTTGATGGTGTAAAAAGCTAATCTATGGCTTCTACCTGGCTCCCAGGATCACCTGATAGGGCTAGGAGAGGCCCTTCTCTGCTGGAACACCTGGCCACTGCAACACTGCCCTGTAAGGTCCAGCTGCCCCCAACCTGGCCAGGTTCAAAAGTAGCCAGGAAGACCTGAGTCTGGGCTACAGGTGTAATCTGAGAAAGCGTCTCAGACAGGCCCCTCCATAGTTGGCATTGAAGTAAAGGGAGGGAGGGGTGCCAGATTCTTCTGCAGTTAACTTTACAAGAAAGGTGGTATTAGGCATGGATGAGTTTGGCTTTTTAGCCTGGCCTACAACAGCCTCCCAATGTGGTCTGGCTTGACTGACCAATCTTCTCTGCAGTCTTTTTCTAGAAAGAGTGCAGGGAAACCAGGATGATGAGGAGACCGGAGGCTAAAACATATGATGAACGGTTGCAGGAACTGGGCCTGGATAGTCTAGGGAAGAGAAGAAGGACCAGAGGAGACAGGAGAGCAGCCTTCCAGTATTTGAGGGGCTGCTCCAAAGAAGAGGGGGTCAACTTATTTTTCAAAGCACCTCAAGGCAGGACAGGAAGCAATGAGTGGAAACTAATCAAGGAGGGAAGGAACAATTAATCCATGGAACAGCTTCCCTCCAGAAGTTGTGAATGCTCCAACACTGGAACTTTTTAAGATGTTGGATAACCATTTGTCTGAAGTGGTATAGGGTTTCCTGCCTAAACCTCCAGGGAGTGGAACTAGAAGACCTCCAAGGTCCCTTCCAACTCTGTTTATTCTATTCTATTTTTATTCTATTCTACTTTCTCTTCTAATTCTTTTCTTATTCTATATTCTCTTTTCTATTATCTTCTATTTCTATTCTCTATTCTTATTCTATTCTTATTCTAATCTTATTATTTTCTCTTTTCGCTTCTTCTATTCTATTCGAAGGCAGGACAAGCAGCAAAGGATGGAAACGAAGGAAGGAGAGAAGCAACCTGGAATTAAAGAGAAATGTCCTGCCAGTGGGAACAATTAACCAGGGGAACTCCTTGCCACCAGAAGTTGTGGGTGCTCCATCACTGGAGGTTGTTAAGAAGAGACTGGGCAGCTATTTGTCTGAGATGATATAGGGTTTCCTGCCTAAGCAGGGGGTTGGACAAGACGACCTCCAGGGTCCCTTCCAATTCTGTTATTCCGATATTCTGACCAACTGCTACCTTCCCCATGAGAATGGAGACATCATAAGCAGCTCTCCAATCTGTGGAGAAACGACATCCCCAAGGAAGGGCAGTGTGGCCTCAAACCCACGACGACGATGCAACAATGGAGACAATTTGACCCTTGTACTACGCTGCCAGAGACGTGTTCGTGAAACGGGCGTGCTTTGTAAATTTGATAACCAAACCAACAGACACTTGCTGACCACAAGCACGCGCGCGCGCACACACACACACACACGGCCTACCTGGAAGTCATTTCTCTTGATGTTGGGCACATCCATGTTGTGAGTGGAAGGGCAGATATCTTCGTATTTTTTCCCAGTGAAGATGTCTATGCCGACAAGATGCACCTAGGAGTGCAGCGGAGGGAGAGAACGGCCTTAGCATGATGTGAGGGGGGGGGGAGAGGAAGAAAAGGGCTGTGGGGTCCTTGGTGCCCTCCATGCTTGGTTGTTTTCCTTGCAGGTGTTTCATGACCCAACCAGGCAGCTTCTTCAGTGCTAGAAGGGAATTGGGAGGAGAGAAGGAGAGGAGGGAGGACTGCAGGGTTCTTCATTTTCTCTGAAATTGGTGGTTTTCTTGCAGACCCACCTAGGTAACATCATCAGTGCTATAAGAGGGTGGAGTTTGCACTGAGGAGAAGGAATAGGTGGCGGTGCAGGACTGAGGGGTCCTTGTTGCTTTCTGAACTTGGTTGATTTCTTATAGACATTTCATGACCCAACTAGGTATCATCATCAGTGCGAGAAGGGAGCTGGGTTTCTGGAGATGAGGAGGAGGAGGAGGAGGAAGAGGAGGAAAAGGACTGTTGGGTCCTTGCTGCTCTCTGTGCTTGGTTGTTTTCTTGCAGATGTTTCATGACCCAACAAGGGAACATCATCAGTGCTAGAAGGGAGGGGGGTTTGCAGAGGAGGAGGAGGAAGCAGCAGCCCTGCCTGGCAAAACAGCTTAAGGGAGCCCCTTTCCAACAACAGGGCACCCCATCTCTGCTGCCCTGCTCCAATCTTCTCCACCCCACCCTGAAGGGTTGGCGGGGGCTTCCCCCCTCCCCCCCGGGGGGGGGCACTCTCCATTCCTAGGAACTTCATCCCACCTCCGCCCCCTCCCTGCGTGCATCCGGCTTCCTTCTTTTGACACCTTGCGTTCTCATGGTGTGTTATTTTACAATGGATGATTTTAATGGTTTTTTAAAAATTGTATTTGCATTATAAGCTGCCCCCCCGCCCCCAGAATCCTTGGATAGGAGATAAAAAGTCAGTAAATAAATTCCATAATGAATATACATTTCAGGCATTTCAGCAGTTGACACATCTTAAAAAGTTCATGAGGTTGGGAAATACTTGTCTGGGGCCATCTTGTCTACCACCCCACAATAGGACTGGGGGGACGGGACGGAGAGTCCAGACAGCTTCCCCAGTCCCACTTGCTTCTCCTCCAAGGATTTCAAACTTCTTAAAAGAACAATAAAAGATTATCTCTGAAAGAAGGGAACGTTTCCAAGCAGCCAAGGGTTATTCAAAGTAGCTCTTGGGGGCTCTGAAAGGCTGGCCCTCTTGTTCAAAGCTGATTTTTCCCAGCTTTGGTGGCACCAGCATTTTTTTTTGGGGGGGGGGGTCCCTAAAATGAGCAATATTAATAATTTCTGGGGTTTAAAAAAATGTTTTAGGAAGTTTTCAGCATTTTCATTGTTAATTTGTAAAATTGTAAGCTGCCTGGAGTAATTGAGCTGGGCAGCTATAGAAATTGAATAAATAAAAAGTATTTATTAAACTTAACCACCCAACTCAGCCCTGGAGGGGCTCTATAGCACCCCCCCTCCCCATCTTAAGAGACTTGGAAGAATGGGTATGTGTAGGTCCTCAGACAGACAGACACAAAGAGGCAGACAAGCAGCCTGTAGTCCACTGGGGAGAAGAAAGCCTGGCTTAAAACAGAGAGAACTGAGTTCAAATCAGCAGATTGCTGTTTGAAGGCTTATTCTCGCTGCATATTCCAAGTTTTGGACTGGTTGCTTATCTCTTTGTAAAAAATAATTCCTCAACCTCCTGGAACATTTTGGCAGCAGCAGCATTCGCAACACACATGTGGTACACTCACAACTCCGACAGATAGATAGATGGATGGATGGATGGATAGATATTGAAGATTTTGGTTCTGTCCAAACCTTAAAATGTCCAAACTCCACAAAAACAAACAGATGAAGCCAGGCATCACCAGCAGAAGGAATTTCAGCGTGTGGCCAGATGCCCAAATTATGTATTTATATATTACTGTGTTTCCCCTAAAATAAGACCCTGTCTTTTATTTATATTTATACTTATATTTATATTCATATATATATATATATATAAAATACACACACACACACACACACACACACACATACATATACATACATTTGTTTTCGTAGATTTTCATGTGTACAGGTATGTAGGTCTAGGTGTGTTCCGGTCTTTTCCTGTGTAAGATTAAGAGTATCTTGGTGATGTTTCGGCGAGATCCCACTCGCCATCCTCAGGCTGGTGCTTTTGGCTTTGTGCCAGCGCAAGCAGTGTGTGATCGGAGCTGCCGTCTCTCTATAAATACTGGTTGGGGGGGCTGGTGTGCTGGGCTGGTTGCCTATGCCAACCTCTTGATTGGTTGATGGAGTTGATGTTGGTATAATGGGCTGTGTGATGGCCTTGTGAGTTTTGTTGTGGAGATATCCTGGATCTTGTGCTTTAATCTCCTGGGTCATTTGTTTTGTAGTGATCTTTTTTCCATTAGCCTCCTGTGTTGTTACAGCTTGGGTAATGGGTTGTGTGGTGACCTTGTGAGTTTTATTGCTGTGGTATCCTTGGTCTCGTGCTATGAATTCCTGGGTCGTTTGCTGTGTTGCAACTTCTTGAGTTCTTGTGGTGTAATTTCCTGAGTTTTCTGCTGTGATATCCTGAGCGGGTGGCTGTGATGTAGCCTTCTGGGTTTTGGTCTGGCTTCGAGTTTGGGGTCTGGGTCTGTGTTCTTGGTGTATGTCAGCTTGTTTGGTTTTGGGGTCGGGGGTGCGACAGCTGGCGAAGCAGCCGTGGTCTTGTTTCTGGATGGTGGCTGTCCTTCGTTTATAGGATGGGTTTGGGCCTGGGTCTGATGAGGGGGATTGGCAGTGGCGTCCCGTGTTGTTTTGGGTCTGGTGTTGGTTTTCATGGCTGGGACTCATTTGTTGGTGAGGGCTAGTTTCCAGATGTCTGGTAGGCGGGAGGTATCATCCCGTTTATTCATGTTATGGGGGTGTTTCTCTATTTCGATGGCTTCCCTGATTATTCTCTTGCTGGAGTGTTCAGTGTTGGATATTAATTTGGTTCCTTCAAAATTAATTTCATGTCCTGTGGCTTTAAGGTGCTGGAAGTGGGAGGAAGTATATTTTTCTTTTCTGACTGTGTTTTTGTGTTCTGTGATGTGTGCATTTATTCTCCTGTTGGTTTGTCCAATGTATGTGGCTGGGCAATTGTTGCATGGTATTTCATAAACTCCTTGGTTTTCTAGCTGGATCTTGTCTTTGGGATTTCTTTTTTTTTTTTAACAAATTTTATTGCTTTTCACATAAAAACAAAAATCTCTTTAGTGGACAATATATTTCCGGGTCATCACCTTTACATACAAATATGACAATTATACATTCATATATGCATACTTAAGTCTATTATTACCTTTTCCATTCCAAATTTTCAGTAAGGAGAGAAACAAACACATTAATTCTAGCCTCTTTCATTGATCTCAATCGCAACATCTTTTTGTTTCATTTCAATTATTTCAAATATAATCCTTTAATATTTATTTTGAAAATATAAACAATATGTGTTTGCCTAATAATAATAATAATAGGTTGCCAATGTCTCTCCTTGCTTTTAATAGTCTATATTGACTTATTTAGTTGGCTTAGTCTGTCATATTCCCTTTCCATTACACATTCTTTTTATAAATTCTAAATTAATACAAATTTTAACACTAAAGAAAAAAACAAGTATAGGTTTCCCCCCTTTTACTGCTTTCAGTGTGACACCTCAGTGGTTAAAATATACCTTTATTCCCTCATCTTGATTCCCAATAAACCATTATTTTTAAGAAGTTACAATAATAATCATTACATCTTTTCATTTAGATTCCGCAGCATATTTTCCCCTTAATTTTTAATAAGAGTTATCAATATCTATGTTACCCTATTTTCTAAATATTTTTAATTGCAGAATATTCTTATTACCCCTTGTGACCCTGCAGAATCCCCTTTTTAATTCATCAACCATTCTCTGAAAAAACAATTTCTTTTCAACATTTTACTATTTTTGTATTTCTTTATTTCATGTGCCTGCTTCTTACTGCTTCTCCTCCCCCTCTTTTCCCCATATCTTTACTCATTCCAATTTATATCCCCCTCTTTCTTAATATCTTTCTTTCCCCTTTTGTTTAGTTGCATCGCCCAATTGTCTCGGTTCAGATGTTATCCACCCCTTTCTTCCCTCCTGCACAAATCTTAATCCAGCTGAGTCCTCCTCTTCGGGGTGGCCATTTTAAACCACCGCTGCAGTCGTCTTCGGGGGAAAAAGACCAAGCCCAAGAGGGGAGATGTGGCTCTCCTCAACCTGGCTTGCGGCTTCCCCTTACCCCGCCGCCCCTCCGGGGCTCTCCAACAAAAGAGCACAGACCACAGCCGCAGAGAGTTGCGATCTACGGTCTGTCAGCAAGGAGGCTCCGCCTTCTTCCTGTCTTTGGGATTTCTTAGGATGTTGGCTATTTTTTGGTCAGTGCCGAAGGCTGTCTTGATATTGTGTTTGTGGAGAATTTTGCTGATTTTGTCTGTGGTGCCTTTGATGTAGGGGAGGAGTGCGATACCGTTGTCTTGTTCTGTGTCTTGGTTTTTGGGGGTTATCTCTCTTTGGATTAGGTTGGTAATTGTGTTTCTTTGGAATCCGTTGGAAAGTAATACAGAAGTGAGGGTGTGTTGTTCTGTTCTCAGGTGGCCTTTGTCAGCTAGGCGTTTGGTTCTGGAGATGAGTGTCTTGGCTATGGAGTTGATCTGTGCAGGGTGGTGATGGGATTGTGCATTTAGGTAGCAGTTGGTGTGTGTTATTTTTCCGGTAGATGGTGTGTCCTAGGGAGGCATTGGGTTTTTTGTAAATTAGGACATCGAGGAAGGGAAGTTGGTTGTTGGTTTGTTTCCATGGTGAATTGTATTGTGGGGTGTAGGTTGTTAAGATGTGTGAGGAAGTTGTCCAGTTTTTCTTTCCCGTGTGGCCAAATTACAAAAGTGTCATCTACATATCTCAGCCAGAGTTTGGGTTTGTGTTCGGATTTGTCTAGAGCGTTGGTTTCAACGTGT